ATTCTTGTCCCCACACACCACGGGAAGCTGCCAGCCAGGTTCCTGGCTTTAAACAGAACTTGTTCTTTCCCAGTTTTGCAGCTTCTTGCCTTAGAGGATAACTGCAATTTAGTTTTATTTCACAAAATTTGACATGGCTTGAGTCTGTGATTTACTGGCCTTGAAGGATACGGTATATGTAACTGCGGAGGACATAAGTGGCCTTTCATGGTAGACAAGTCATAAATTGAGATGAAAAAAAATGAGGGAAACGTTACTGCCCAACTTTACAAGGTAGCACTAAGAACAGGACACAGCAAAGCTATCTGTAACTGTCAGGGGTCTTTATTGTCCCTGATTGTGTGTAATAAAGCTCCTGAACGAGACCTGTGGTCTCAAATGCAGACAACCAATGTTCAAGTGTTTGAAAAGACACAAGATGGCAATATTTTCAAAAGGACACCCTGGAATATCTCTGGGCTAAAGATTTTCAAGCTATCAGCTTTCCTCGCTCTGGCACTTGCTCGAGACCTTGGTCTGTGTCCAGCTTGATCCCTCCATCAGTCAAAGGAGCCTGAAGGTGTGTGGGGTGAGATGGAAATCTCTGAGGACATCAGCAGAAGCCAGTAGTCCTGGCTTCATGTTCCAATCCAAACAAGAGCGCAGCATCTCTCCACTCCTCATTCATGGCACATACACAGTGAGGTGCAGCAGTGTAGCCGCTGGTGTTTCTTCTGAGTCTTGTTTTGACATCTGCATCCCCCTCTTTGCCTTCTGTCACCTCCATGTCTTCCAACAGACATAGATCCAGAGGGACATCCTGTAGCAGGGAGATTTTAGGCAAGGAAGAATAACCTCCTCTGGGATTTTGTTTGTTTGTGGGTATTTTTTTGGCACAAAAATAGCTTCAGAATTTCTTATTTAAAAATTAATTTTCCCTCTTTGAGCAGGGGTGTTGTAGGGTGTGGGTGGAAGAATTACTTCTGCTTGGTTGTCAACATTTGCCTGGCAAATACTTCCAGGTTTCTTGGCTTTATATGCTAATTTTCAGCTTAAAGGTTGCAACGCATTGCAATATGGCAAGGCAACGGGCGGTGTGGTGGTTTACAGGCTGCTTGTGCTTGTTTTATCTGCAAATGGTTGGATTTGCAATGTGTAATGATCTCTGTAAGGCAGTTAGCAGAAAGATAAACATCAGTTTTATGGCTGGGGAAATGTAAGCGGTATTGCACAGAAAAAAAGAGAGGATCTGAATGCTCAAAGCTCTCTGACCTGCTCAGTGTGGCTGGGTTTAGTTCTTGCATGTCTGTTGGGCCTTGTGCATCTCGGCTCCTCCTAATGGTATATTGAGCCAGGTGAGATGCTGTGACAGAGACGCAGAAGCAACACAGCCTTTCCCTTGAGGGTGGGGAATGTAAGTAGCAAGGACTTAGCATTTGCAGCCAAGAGTTAAGAGGTTTGGCTGTAGTGGGAATGAAGTAAGGCAAAGACTTAAGTTTTTGGGGTCTTGCTTTGTAATAGGAGCTCATGCAGAAGATCGGAGCTACCTTTTGTTGCAGCCACACTGGGAATATGTACAGAATGCACAGCTCTCTGTACAGATATGCTTTGATTTTCACAAATAATAGCTTTTTGCAGCTCTGTTTCTCCATTAGAAATGATGTGGGGTCTAAAATGATTTTTCTTAATTTGCTGTATCCTGAATACCTCTGGAATGCAATTAATATTCTTGCTTACGTCTCAAAAAATTAATAGGCATGCCTGGAAGTTGCTAAATGACTGTGTGTGGGGTGATGATGGGAGGGATGGCAGGGATGGCTCAGCCCCTTGAAGCTGGAAACAGCCTAATGAGGGGAAGAAAAGTGTAGAATCATTGGTGAAACCTTAAGCATGCAAGCTAGCTACAGGAGCATGTGAAGTGGTGCCATGCTGGCCCATCAAGTCCACATGATGGTGCTAATGCAGCGGCTGCAGGTGGGAGCAGGCATGATTTCAGCTGCTTTAAGAGCAACCACCGTCCTCCCACTGGGATGTCCCTGGCCTGGAAAGGCCCCCAGATGCCACACAGAGTTGGAGCAGGGGCTTTATTACTCCTTATCTATAAACCTGGGAGGTGTGATCAAGCCAATTAGTTAATTAGCTGCCATTGAGACTGATTGAGGATGAGGGCTTCCCCCATGCTGGTACAGGTGCTCAGCCTGCCTGGGAACCTCAGTTTCTTGGTCAGTGTGCGACATGCAATGGGCTGTCAAATGTCCCCAGTGTGGCAGCACATTCAGGGCTGGTGTTTTCACCGTATAGAATGTTTAAGATGAGTTTTCATGTTTTATATAGCTTATTTACTACTTGCATTTCTGCCTCGCGGGTGTGATGAGAGATGAGCTGTTTTCATTTTCTCTTGACTCTACCCAGCCCTTTCAAACTCCTCTGTGCTGTGACAGGATGCTTTAGACATCTCCATAAAAACGTGTGTGCATGTAGCTCCCATTTCCAGGGGGATACGACTCAGGGATGAACAAAGCTTCCTCCTGATGCCATTTGGAAAAAATAACCTAATTTCAGAACCAATTAGAAAGGACATAAATCACCTGAAGCCACCTGGATTTCTCCTTTAGCTTACAGAGATTTCTGGTGAGCCTTGACTAATTGTTCTCACTGGTTAGGTTCGGTGTGGGGCTGGCTGCGAGTGGAGCCCCAAGGTGCTGCGCAAACACCTGGAGGGCACGAAGAAACACATTTTCCACCTAATCTTGTTACTGTCACAACGGCAGTGAAACCTTTTAAAGCAGAAAAGTACAAGTTTTTAAAGTGATAGTGGTGTCCTTTCAGCTCTGACAAATGCTATCTTTTGCTTGTGCTGCCTGCTTCACAGGAGTCCTGTAAGCTTGATGGCAGTCCTATGGCACAGAGCCTGAATTCCCAAATAAGCTATGAACCCTTTGAAAAGAGGAATTTCTTGGCTAGAAGTGATGTAGTTAAAGGGTTACCCTTTGCTTTTGCTCTTCTTAGCCCATCTGGTCCTTTTATTTCTGTTTTTTCTTCCTTCAATTCTCATTTCCCAGTGCTTTCCCCTGGCTCCCTCTTCTTCCAACACATTTATGTCTCTGCTTTTTCCTTTAAATTAGTGTTCCCCGGCTGTCCATTTTAAGCCCCTTTTACTTGAAACTTGATGTTGCGGGTAGTGTTTCTTGTATACCCTTTGCTAGCAGGGACTGGTACAGTTTCCACTCGTCTCAAAACACTTGCAAGTCAAGCTCCTGACTCTTCCTTGCAAACTAAATCATAGAATAGTTAGGGTTGGAAAGGACCTTAAGATCACGTTGTTCCAACCCCCCTGCCATGGGCAGGGACACCTCACACTAAACCATCTCACCCAAGGCTCTGTCCAACCTGGTCTTGAACACTGCCAGGGATGGAGCATTCACAACTTCCCTGGGCAACCCATTCCAGTGCCTCACCACCCTCACAGTAAAGAACTTCCTCCTTATATCCAATCTAAACTTCCCCTGTTTAAGTTTTAACCCATTACCCCTTGTCCTATTGCTACAGTCCCCCAGGTCTGGCTGGTAACAGAAGCCCAAGAAGCTGGGACTGCTCTCAGCCTCTTCATGTGATGCTGGTTGAACCCTTGCAGGTTCCCAGTATAAATTTGTGTGGTTGCTGGAAAACAGATTGGGAACCTTTCGGCTAAAAACCTAAAATTATTAGCCAGCAGTCAAGTGGAAGCATGATATGCATATGTCTATTGAAAAAGTGTGTGCTCACGGTCTCTAGGCATCCTTCTACCTTTCCCAGACCTGACCCATCCGTAACAGACCTCTTTGTTCAAAGCCTCCTAAAGGTTTGAAGGCCAGCTGTGAAACGAGTAGGAGATGCTTAATTCCATTCTGCTGAAGCAGCGTGGCAGCACCAAGACAGCACTTCCTTGGTTTGTGTTCCTCCCAGTCGGCTCTCAGTACAGCTGAGTGCTAAGAGTACTTTTTTTTATCTGAAACCTTGAATTCTGCAGAGACCAAGTGCTTATTTCTTAGGATCACCAGGGGAAATTTCTTATTCTCCCAGTAGGGTGGAAATTTCAAGGTCTGAAGCTATAATATATGTAGTCTTCTAACATCATTAAAATAGGGGTTTTCTGATGGTTCCACTGTAATGCAAAGAATACAGTCCTGCCTGTGAATTCCAAATCAATCTGTGTTGTGGTGTCATGGTGGAGGTAATTTGAAGGCACTCATGCAAGGCCAGGGAAAGCTGGGACTGCCAGGGTGTGAAAAAAGGAGGAAGGAAACAAAGCTCATTCTTTCTGCTGGTCATCCCATGTTCCTCTGTGCTGCCCTAGGGCTGAAATCTGGCTGCAGTGGAAGCAGCAAATGAAGGCTTTGGGGATTAGGAAACCATGCATGTTTTCCCTGGAGAAGGGGGAGAAGAAGGTATATTGCTAGACTGCTAGGTGGAAGATGCTGGCTCTTATACGTAGCTTTTACTGCAGCTTTCTGATGCCATTTGATGTAATTTACTCCTCTTTTTTGGTTTTTAAGGTGCCTGGGGGAGGCTGGGAGAGGGTATCCAGGCAGGAATCCCTGGTTGCTTATAGGGTGAGCCCATTATTATTGCACTATAAAGACTTGGATGAGGCATTGCTGGGGTGGGCTCCAGCTCCATCCTGCCCAAATTCAGCCCCAGGCAGTGGCCAGTGGGACAGATGTTATTTACTTGAGCTGTGGCTGAGTCTGGATTAAACCAACAACTCAGCCAGCAGCCTTTATTATAATTTAGGAAGTGTGAGGATACATAGAGGAGGATACTTACAGCATTAAAAAACACAGGAGAAATATGTGGGTGTTTTTGAGCTAGTGGGAGCTGTGTGCTCCATCTCCTGGGTGACGAGAGACACAAGCGATGGGGAGGGTGACCCTTAGGGATGCAAACAGCCATGCAAATGCCCCACGAGCAGGGCCAGTGGGTCGGTGTGTGCTGGAGGACTGGAGGCTGCCCTTTGCCCGCAGCCCATGTGGCAGTGGACTTTGGCAGCAGTGCATGGGGAGCGGAAGGAGGGCCCCAGCGGCACCCGATCAGGTGTGTTTGGCTGCTGCCGGGGGGTGGACAGCAGTGGGAACCCCTAGCTGGAAATTAGGGGGGGGCCTCTGTGGGACCAAAATGATGGGTGCCAGGATGCTTGTGCATGGGGATGTTTAGAGCAAGGATTTAACCCTGCTTTCACCTGAAAGGGGTAAAAACTCAGCTGCCTCTGTTCAGACCCGAGTGTCTTCCCCAGCCCTGAAATTATCCCGAAGTACCTTAAACTTTGCATGTGATGGGGTGACAAAGTGGTCCAGATGGCCTCTGCCTGTGTTGGGGAGGTTTGTGAGCCTTTGTGGTGGGGGTGGTTTGTGTGCCAATGTTGCAAGAGGACACATGGGGAGCTTGAGAGGTGGCATCCTTCCCTGGCGGCTGAGGCTTCACCCATGTATTGCCCTGGGTTGTCATTAGGGTTTCCTCTTTTGCATGGGACCATTACAAGTGAATCTAGCGTCCTCTTGAACTTTTATATTCTTGCTGGAGCTGAAAGGCAGGAGGAAACCCCTGTTTCCACCCCACCTCATAGCACACGTGAACAAAGCTCCATTTCTCCCTTCCTCTGTCCCTACTTATTTATGTGAGAATAATTCTCCCTGTCCTGTTTGTGTCTTGCCAATATCTCTTTCCCTGCCACACATAATGCGGGGTTTCACTGCCTCGTCACAGAGGTAAAGCTGATTTCTCACCTCCTTGGGGAGGCTGTGAGTGGTGGTGCTTTGCAAGGGCTGGCTGGGGATGCACGAGGGTGCTACCTCTCACTCTGGGAACAGCTGGATGCCTCTTGCTTTCAGAATGGACCATTTCATCCTGGTGTTTCAAGGGGCGCTTCAAGTTTAGGCAGATGTGGAGATGGCTTTTCCTTGCCTCTGGGAATTTTGGGAAGGATGCTGGGTTTCCAGCAGGCTCCCAGAAGCAGAGTAGGTGGTGAGCTTCATGGGGGGGCCTACGGGGGAGGTGAAACGCTGTTTATCAGCTGCGCTGTGACTTCATTGTTTGCAGGCCACTAAAGACATTTCGGACCTAACCTCTGCTTCCACCCCAAAACTGGAGAGGATACCCCCAGCAAGGTCGTGATGGACCCCCAGGCCCCTGCCCGGCTGCCCCAGCCCTGGGAGAGGCAGGCAGCCCGGGGGCCATGGGGAGAGGTGCACCATGGCCCCCCACTGCAGCCCAGGAGGGGGGGTCTCCACACAGGGCCCCGGCCTCGGCCCGGCTCCTGGGATGGGGGTCACCCCCCAGGCCACCCTCCCCGCAGGGATGCTGGCAGGCTGGCTGCCCTGGCTGAGCGCTATGAAAGCAGCTACCCCAGCAGGCCCTACTCCAGGTGAGAGCTGCACAACTCAGCGGTGTTCCTGCTGAGCCCCCTTCCTGTTCTAAACCTTACAATGAGATGTGGCCATTTCACCACTGAAATGTGGGGGCTTGTGATATGGGTCCTGCCCTTGGAACTGCACAGGCAACATAGAGAGCAGCCTTGGGGAGGCAGTGTGTGAATAGGTGATGTCCAGCTATTAAGTAGCTGGTGACTTCTATATTTAAGCCCGGATAGTAGTTGCAGCTCTGAATTCTTCCTACAGCTGTGACTTCTGAGGTTGCAGTTTTACAGGCTTCATCTCAGTCCCGAGCTGCATTTTTCTTGAAGGTTTGATTAAATAAATTTCATTTTTACGAAGCACAAGGTGAACAATAAAAATATAAATGGTATATAGGAGCTAAAGGCAGCTTGCAAGCTCAGCTGCTGAAACAGCGGAGGATGGAAGGATAAAATGTGGGTTAGATGATGCTCTCAGCGCTGAGAAATGGCTTTGAGTGCTCCAGCAAATCTGGGATGATTTGCCTGAGTTATTGCCCTCAGAGTGTTACGGTGCGGATATGCAGGGTTTTGCACTGAGGCTGTATGATACTCACGCTGGGAAGTGGGGTGTTGCATGGAGCTCACCAGGTCACTGTCAGTTGTGAAAGACCTAAGGTATGTGAGAGCTGAGTGGCTTTGGCTGGGCTCCAGCGCAGAGGGAGTCCTGCTGGGCTGTGCAGTCCCTCTGGGCTGGTGGCTCCAGAGCTTGGCAGAGAAGGTGCTTTTGGGAGATGTCTCCTAAAATATGGGTGAGAGCTGATCTCCATGACAGGTCCACACCACTGAGCTGAAAGTGGGCATCACCTGAAGCTGCAGTGCACAGCTTTCTTATGGAGCAGGATGGGAGAGTATCTAAACCTTCTGCTGCTCCTTCCAGGAAGGATGCTTGACCAGTTTCTGCTGCTGATCAGGGTACCTGGGCAGGGTACCTTGCTGTATTTCCATCACATTTTCTGCCTCCAAAAGTCTAGTTCTAATCCTAAATGTCTTCTAGAACCTGCAGTGGTGCCCTTTCTTTCTCAGAGTAAGTATGCTGTGTTGTGTTTCAGGCAAGGATATGAAGACCCCCACTGGCAGTACCCAGCAGCCAGCTATGGGGATGATTACACCTACCAAAGCTACCAGTGGCAGCCAGTGGCCTGGCAGGGTGACAGAGGTAGGGGCTTATCCTTTGGGTCTGCAGATGGAGGCAGCTTGTTGCAGGAGAAGAGGCAATGCTTTCTCCAAAATGGGCTTGCAGGGCTTGCACCTCTCCAGGGCTTTGCTCTGCCCACGCTACTGGGTCATTGGTGCTGTTCTCCCCATGCAGCACTGCCCTCAGTTTGCATTTGGGAAATGTGAGCAGGAACTGGATGCACTCAAGGGGGTGTTTGATCTTGATCTTCATGGTTAAAACCCTGTGTCATTCCTGGTTCCATGCTGAACTCAGTGCTCATGGTGCTTTGTGATCATGGTGTCTGAGGCCTCATTTTTGCTCTTTCTGGAGTTTCTGGGCTGAAGAAAAGGGAAGGGAAGAAAGAGGAAAGGACATCCATGCTGTGTTGGCAAATGCGTACGAGGCTTTATCATACCTCCAATGTGTTGGGCTAATTTGGAAGCAAATGGGGTGTGCATGGCAAATTGCCTGACTCATCACTTTTCTTTTGCAACTTCATTATGGCTTGCAGCTCTGGATGGGCAACGCTAAATCTTGATTCCCTCTCTAGACCTGAGACAGGGGGAGCATTACAGCAAGAGTACCAACTACCAGGACCAGCACTACTACAAGGGTTACCACCCCAACCTGGCTGCAAGCTCCCCGGCGCCAGATAGGTAAGGGTGGGCAGTCTGGGCATCTCCTGGCACAACAATCTGCTGCAAAATCAGCAGGTCTGTGACTGGTCACACATCCTCTGACCTTCAGGGTGTCTCCTTTTGCCTGCCTGCAGGAAGCAGACCTGCGACCCCTATGACGACAGCTACACCTTGGCTGCCAGAAAGGAGAGGGCAGGGGGGGAAACCCACAGCAGTGATTTGGGGGAGGCTGGTGGCCAGCCCCAAGAGGTAACCTCAAGATGGGTAGGGGTGGATGGCAAAGCACTTGGGGATCTCAAAGGGATTTTTGGGAGCAATCTTGTATCTCTCCTTCAGCTGGGAAAGAAGCTGAGGAGAAAAGGGCTGCTCTGCTATGTTGCACTCATTGCCTAACAATCTCTGGGGATTATTATCATGGATTATTGGCATTTGTGAACTCTCCATATGCTGGGCTGTTGCTCCACCAGGCATGGCATTGTACACCACTCCTACACATGTCCAAGAGCAGGACAGAAATCCAGGCTTGGTGGGATGCTCTTCTGCATCATTCCCAGGTAGCTGCAAGCTGTGTATCATTGCTGGCTCTGTCCGCCAAGTCCTGCTCCATCACACTTATGTCCTGATCACTGTTTTGCCAAGAGTAAATGAAGAGGCCAAATCAGAGCTGCTGTTGTTTTGCTCCTGGGCAATACTATGTGAGTTCCCAAGTCCCATCTGCTGGCTGTCTAGGAGTCTATGCTATGGCTAGGAAAGCTATTGGGCTAGATTGGTGGCTCATGCCAGTTATTATAAAAGCCATTGGGTATGATAAAAATATGATGTGCTATGATGGAAGTGCTATGATGAACCTCAGATGCTGAAGGGTGTGACCTGCTCAGATGGGAACTGGCTGTGCCGTGCTTCCTCCGCTGGGCACTTCCATGGGGCAGCAGAGCCTGTCCCACTGCTCTGGGAGCAGAAAAGCAGCGGTGTCCCCAGTTTCTCAGCCAGGTTTGTGTTTTCTCCTTCCCTTGCAGCCATCAGACCAGCCCAGCCTGCTCCTGCAGTACCACGAGTCAGGGCTCAGCTCCAGTGGCTATGAGCTCAGCCAGTACATCCGTGAAGGTGCTGACCACTATGACCCTGCTCTTTCAGGGACCTGGGGCCTGGCACAATCAGGTGAGGTGTGATGGGGCCCTGGCCCCCTCTGACAATGGGGGAGCAAAGAAATAAATGGCTGGCATTAGGTAGCTTGGTCCTTTTCTGGAGGATGTTGTGCAGGCACAAGTCATGACTTTAGGGCTGCAGGGCAGGTCCCTTGTCCAGTGGCACCTCTATGGTAGGTGCAGGAGCTGGCATGCATGCCTCCTGCTTTAGAGGACAGTTCTAGCATGGGGGTAGTCAGTGGAGGGTCACTTAAGTTGGGACCTGGTTATGTCCTTCATAGTGGAGGTGGTGTGGGGTCAGGGTGAGGGGACTCACAGTGGCCTGTGTGTCATTGCAGGGAGGCCCTTGGTGTCCACCCCAGCCCCAGTGGTACCCCTCAAGTTCTCAGTGCCACACACGGTGGTGTGCTTTGGAGCCAGAGGCCAGCTGGTGCTGGTGTGTCCCCGCCACCCTGCCAAGGGGCAGCTAGCCCTTGTTGAGCTACACAGCCTGGAGGTATGTCACAGCCTGCCACCCCAAACTGTCCTCTGTCCCCTTGCTGGAGTGACTCCATTCATCTTGAGGGATGCAAACACTGTTCTCACCCAAACAGCCTCCTTAGCAACCTTCTCATCCCCTGCAGTCATCTTGTCTCCAGCCCACATGAAGGCCCTGCATTGTGTCAGCCTGTGCAGGAGCATTGCTTTCAGCATTTGGGTCCTGCATCCTGCTCTTTCAGTTCTGTAACCCTTGTCATCTGTGAGCTGTTCACAGTGAGGTACAGATGTGGTCCATACCTCTTTGAAGGATAATTCTACTCGTCTTTCTGAGATGCTTAAATACAGAAGCCATATCCATACCCTCAGTCTCCTATTTTGCCTCCCAAAGCATACAGATGCCATCCAATAGGGATTTTTTTTCCTGGACCTTAGCACTGGTGTCCATGTGATGGTTTAGGGTGTATGCTCTGGGGTTATCTTAGAACAGCACAGAGAGTGGGCTCACCAGCACTGTTGAATCTTGGTGCAAGCATTGACTTTCAGCTAGCCCAGCTGTGGCTGGTCAGATTGCTGAAGTCCAGCTGCTGAATTTGCTCTTGTGTTACAGGTTGTCCTTCATGGCACAAAAGAGCTGGAGGAACTACAGGCCTTCCCAGGGCCCCTGGCCAGGTATGCTGCATAGGCAAGTCCAGGAGCTGTGGCTTCCAGGCTGTGCTGGCATGGCTGGCCTGGGAGCATCTCTCCTTTGTGAGGAGACAGGAGCTCAAGTCAGGCTTTAAGGTCCCCATGATACCGTGATATCTGCAAAGGCCTAGACTAGGTTCATACTGGGAGCCCAGCCCCTTTGCTGTGGTGTAGGTTGGTTTGTATTGTGGGAGATGGGGGTGGTTTTGAATATTCAGAGTGTGGGCTCAAGTGTGGTTTGTATGTCTGACCTTATTTTGTACTCATGTCCCAGAAAACTGATTTTTGGGAGATTTCTTTGGATGTCTAAAGCACTGGGTCAGCCTGTGATTTAGCTTTTCCTAAAGTTTTTGTCCCTCAGGACTGCTGAACACAGCAAGGGCAGACTCAGTATGCCTCTTCATCCAGTGTGAGCCTGGGGATGAATCATGGTGTGTTCCATCAGGTTTTCTCTGTACTATACTGGTCACACCAGTGTGTCTTCTGGCCACTCAACCAAAGAAGGGAGAGAAAAGGATTGTGCAGAAGGAAGAAAGCCATTTACTGAGCTAAAAAGCTGCTTATGCCCAGCAGCTGGGTACAAGACCTAGAGGCTAACGTTTGTGCCAAATGGGATTTGGGGAATCTCTATATGATATGTTGGTGTGATTGAGTCAGGATCAGCATCTCAATCCCCAGCCCGTCCACCCTGGCTGATCTCAGCCACCCTTTCTTTCCAATGGTCTGTTTATTTTATTGTAAGAGAGCGGTTCTGTCTGGCTTGCACATAGCTTAAAGGTTTCTGCTTCTGTTTCATACCCAAAGGGATTATACGGTCACAAGCGTGTCTTTCTCTCTGCACTATGCCAGTTAAATAAAAGATACTGCTTGTATGCGTGCCTGCTCCTGCAGCCTTGAGCATCCACGGCTGTAACAGCAACACAGCAAAGCAAAACTGGGGTTCTTTGTAGATGAATGGATGAAAATATCAGGAGGGCAGAGAGAGGGTTTGAGATGCACTCTGAGTCCCTGAAACAGAAGTCTACAGAGTCATAATTATTATAACATTTAAGCATTTTTGAGCTTGGTGTGGCCAATGTGTTGTGTGGTCATTGGCACTGGAGATCTCCATCTGATACTTTGAATCTTTGGCAGCCCCATTACTGAACCTGGGGACATGTTAAGTCTCATGTCCTGGATTGCTATGCCTTGGGTTTCTGTTGATGCCTCTCTTTGCTGCTGTAGGGAAGATCTGCACAAGGTGGATGTGATGACATTTTGCCAGCAGAAGATAGCCACAAGCTGTGATCTCTCAACACAGAGAGGCAGAGATTCATGTCTTCTCTGGAAACTCCTGGTCCTTCTCTGCCGGCAGAATGGGGTAGGTGTCCTGTGGAAGGGGCTGACACTTTTGATCTTAGAGGTGAGACAAGTTATACCCCCAAGATACCTCTTGATCCAGTTGCTATTTTTAGGGGGGATGTACCTTAAAACCCACCCAATCCCATAGTACAGTCAATCAGTTTGATACTGCCTGGATAGTTAGAGCAAACCCTTCTCTGTGATTGCTTTTCATCCTTGAGAACTACCAACAACCCAATGCTATAGCAGCTGTGAGAAGGACTGGTGCTACCTTCATTGAGGAGCCAGTGCTTATGCTTGAAAGGGGATTATTCTCTTAACCCAATGAAATCCACCCAATCTAATCTGTGGCTTCAGAGCAAGTCTTGTGAAGGTTTTGCTAGTTGTGCTGAATCTTTTGCCCTCCAAAAGTGTGTGCTGGTGGCCAGTGCTGGTCTTGTTAGGGACCATGTCCTAGGGGGACCATGTTAGGGAAATGTCCTAGGATGAGGGTACGAATGTAAGGGTGTTGGACTGGAAGTGCCACCAGCCTTTACTTGTGGGGCAGTCTCACTCCTCCCCTTCCCTTTTGCAGTCCATGGTGGGCTCAGACACAGCTGAGCTGCTGATGGAAGACTGCAGGTGCCAGAAGTACAAGAGGCAAAACCCTGCGGCAAACCTGATAGGCCTGACAAATGACGAATGGATGTCGCATCAGACAGGGACACTGGACCTCATCACAGGGGACATCCCTCCCGTTGTGGAGACACAGGCACAGATAGTGGAGAAGTTCACCAAGCTCCTCTACTATGGCAGGAAGAAAGTAAGTGGTGAGTGGGATCCAGGACAAAAGGCTTTTTTTCTTGGTCCTTTTGGCCTCATCTGACAGGTTTTAAAAGGAAGGCTGGTGAAGAGGTGCCTTGTAGTTGGGGGATCAACCCTTCAAGCTGTTTGTACAACACGGCTTATGGCAGTGATTTCCCTACCATTGGGAATCGCGATGGGCCTTAAATGAAGACAAGATGTAGAGACTTCTACCAGCACTGTGGGTTTTGTTGCAGTTATGTGATCTCAAGGGGTATCAAAGGCCACAGAGAAAGAGGGGGGATGGATGCATCATTATCAGTGATGACACTGACAGTTAACAGGGAGCACAGACCTGGAAAACCAGTAAAGACAATACTGCTATGAAGGTCCCAGTTCTTACTGTGGTAGAAAGATAAAGGGTCTTTTGGGAACTCAGAAGAGTTTTTTGGAGGGTACTAGTTAAAGCCAGAGCAGTTATGAGAGCTCTTTTCTGAGCTGGGTGAGCAGCAGAGGAAGGCAGGGGAGCAGAGTTAGTGCAATCCCTTTTTTGTTTCTACCTTTTCTGCAGGATGCTCTAGTCTGGGCCATGAGAAACCATCTTTGGGGACATGCCCTCTTCCTCTCCAGCAAGATGGACCCTCGAACCTACAGCTGGGTGCTCTCTGGGTAAGTTGGAGAAGCTAAAGTAAGGTGCAATGCTCTGTGACTCACTTTGCCAAACCTGTTATCCCTCTGGGTACCTTCAGCCTCAGTGCACTGAATTAAAAAAGTCACTGATTTCAGTTGACCATTTCAGAGGCGGCAAAGTGGGGACAAGGCATCCATTCTGCTGGGCTTCCTAATGGATGGGAGAAACCAAGTGGGAGCTGGAAAGCAGAAGGAAAGGCATTTCCTGGAGATGTAGGGTGGATTTATTCTGAGTCTTTGGCTTTGCTCTAGTAAAAGCCATTGGGATAGGGAGAGCTGAGCCATCTTCACAATGATCCAGCCTAGTCTGAGCTGTTCGTCCCACTTGTATGAATGTTTTCTGGTGGAATTAATGTACTTAGTCTGGATTGGTTTGATCCCTTCAGGGAGAGTAAAGCAGGTATTTTCTGTCTTGTGCAAACCAAATCCTTATATGGAGGTTTTATCCAGTGTTGCCCTGAGGACTTGCCTGCTCTGAAGGTAATGCAGATAATCAGCTTGGTGGGCTGTTGATCCTTTCCCCCTTCTCCAGGAAGCCCCTCAGGACACTGCTTTCCTGGGGCATTTGGGACATGCCCTTGAAGGTGAATGAGGGTTTCGGGTCCCAGCACAGCAGCCCTATCTCTGTTGTCTCCTCACAGGTTCACCAGCACACTGGTCACCAATGACCCCCTGCAGACCCTCTTCCAGCTCATGTCAGGAAGAATCCCTCAGGCAGCGCTGGTCTGTGAGCAAAAGGCTGGCCCCAGCCTGTGTACCCTGTGTACCCTATGCTGACCTGCCTGTGACATCCACCTTGTGGTGACCATCTCTGTTCACCTTGCCTCTTGTTTCCCTCCAGTGCTGTGGAGATGGCACGTGGGGAGACTGGAGGCCCCACCTGGCTGTGCTGTTGTCCAACAAGGTTGGAGACACGGAGCTGAACCACCGAGCCATCGTCACCATGGGAGACACTTTGGGTGAGCCCAGGCTGTTGTGAGCAGTTATGTTCCTGCTGTTCCTGCTCTTTTGTGATAGTGGGTGGGCACCTGCAAAGTTGCTGTGCATGTCCATGCTGGCATGGATGTGCATTGGTGCCAAGATGAAGTATGTGTGCCTGTATACCTGTGCAGGAGCAGGGATGAGGTGTTGATGGATCCCACTGCCCTTTGTGCTGGCAGATAAGTCAGGCTCATGTATACCCATTAACTGCTCTTTTGGAGATGAATGACTGGAATCGCTGGATCTGGGGAGGGCATATGTAACTGCAGGGACTGAGACGTACTCCTGGTGGTGGGAGCTCTCAAGGATTTCATGCTAATAATGACACCCTACAGATTTGAAGCTGGAGCTGGTGCCTGGTCAGGCTTCCCCGGTTCTGCCACTGAAATGAAACTCCTCCTAGGTGCAGAAACCAGCAATTGGGGAATACAGATGAAAAGCAGGGAGAAGGGAGGGATGCAGGTCTGTCTGAACAGCGAGGAAAAGTGGGGTGATTGGGATTGTGTTTTCAGTGAGCTTGGGGGCCTGAAAGCAATGGTGACCACAAGGTGACCTCTTAGGACTAAGTGTTTGTCTTTTATCTCCCATCCAGCTGGCAAGGGATCAGTTGAAGCAGCTCATTTCTGCTACCTGATGGCAGATATCCCCTTTGGTTACTTCGGGGTGAAGGCAGATCGCATGGTTCTGCTGGGCAGCAGCCACCGGTGAGTGAGCCAGGAGGCAGTGCTTTCACCTGAGGGACACGTCCCACCTTCTCCTTATCCCCAGGATCTCACTTTTATGCAAAACCAATCCCTGGTTTTGGGCTTACTGCTCTTAATGTGAACTTTGCTCTGGGCTTCTCCAGCTGCAGGCTGGCACAAATGGAGGAGCTGTGAATCTGTTTGTGGGGCTGCCTGGGAAGAGAGCTCTGCTCCTGCTTGTTGAACCTGTCTCTCTCCTCTGCAGGCAGGGGTTTGCCCAGTTTGCCAGAATGGAGGCCATCCAGCGGACGGAAATCTTTGAGTACTGCCAGCGGCTACGGCAGCCTGAATCCTTCCTGCTCCCCTTCCAGGTAGTGGAGATTCACAAATACATCTGGTGCAGCAGCTCAGGCCTGCCCCAAAACATGCATCCATCCCTCTGAAGCCAGGGATTCAGGCTGCTTTTCAAGGCTTGTCTCCTTGCTGATGCCCTGGCCAAGGGGTTCCTCCAGAATTTGGGTTATGATGTGTTTGATCAGTGCTTGCTCAGGTCTTGCTGCTTTCCTGCTCTCTGGGGTAATGGATAGGCTTTTCGTATTGCAAATAGGTCTGCTGCTATCTCAGGCACTGCACATATCGGGTGAGTAAATGAAGACTGTGGGCTGGTGTCTTTCCCCCACTGCCGGTTTGCTGGTTCTGGGCTGGGCTGGCCTTGTGACAGTGCTGTGGTTTGGGGAGCTGGATGAAGCTGGATGGCCCCATGGGGATGCCAAGTTGCAGATGACCTCTGGGTGATGAGAACTGTGATACTGAGTCATGCTGGGATGATGTGCCATAGCAGAGGGTGCCCATGCCTGTGAGCATCTCCTACCCTCATATATCCGTTCTGTTTCCCTCTCGCAAGATATACAAGCTCCTCTATGCCTCTCTCTTGGTTGACTATGGACTCCCAGCCCAGGCCCTGCAATACTGTGAGCAGATTGCCACCGTGCTCCTAAGCCAGGATCCATCCAGCCATCCTGTCCTGGCCCGGCAAGTGATGAAGGTGAGTCTTGTACCCCTCTGCATTCTTGGCAGGATATGATACCTATTCAGGACCTGGTGTGGTGGGAAGCATCCTTGGAGTTTCCCATGGTTGGGGGTGCTTGGCAGCTCTGAGCAGCCCCCCAGGGTTTGCTGTGTATGGAACACAGCAAGGCCAACACCTCCATGGTGTCTCTCATACCTATGGATCTGGGATAGAAACAAAGGAGTTGTGTTGACTGCCAAGTAGGAGCAGAGTTATTTGGAAGCAAAGGAAGTTTTGTATTCTGGAGAGGCTTTTTGAACTTATAAATGGCACAGACTTGAGAAGCTGAAGTGTGAGTGCTTCACATTTCCCCTCCAGCATCATCCCACAATTCCATTTACCTGCCAGGGGCTCTTTTGGGTTCACAGCAAATAGAAGCATGTCCCAGCTTGTAGCACTGAGCCCAGCTCTTCTGCTTCATGAGCAGGGTGCTGGGGCAGGGAGGGGTGAAGCAAAGTGTCCCAGCTTTCCCTGAGCAGGTTGGGCTCTTGGGAGAGCAGGTCTGCCTGCTCCATGCACATCACCAGGGCAGTGCTGAGGCTGCTTGGAGCCTTCCTCTGTCAGGAAGGGGACAAAAGCCATGGTGCTGTGAGATAAGGGCAGCAAGGATGCCATTCTGAAGCAGGTGCTGCAGAAATTGCCCAAAGCTTGCCTCACACAGCCCCCTTACCACTGAAACCTATTTACTGCCTAACAGCCTCTCGGATCTGCTGTTCTGCTGGGGATAATGCTTCTCCTGGGAGAAAACACTTTCATCTGAAAAACTAGTGCATTCGTAGATGCTCTTGTCTTTGATGTTTTAGGCTGTGTTACAAATTATGCTACACATTAGTGTTTGATTAAGACTTCCCCTCTTTTGAAGCTGGGGACGATATACAACCAGGTGCTGGTTCATTAATATTGGATCAAAGTGCACATTAGCTTTTGGATTAAACATTCCCCCCGTTTAGGAGTAATCATGCTTATAATTTCCTCTTTCCTGCAATTGATTTAGGATGAATGCATGTGTGTTTGCAAAGAGATGGGACAGTGGATTTCTAGGTAGTGCAAGCTCCGGGCTGTGCACTGGGTTACTCTGTTTTCTGTGGCCAGTCTGTGTCTCAAGCTGGGCTCTGACTGCGTGGGTCATGTCTTGCTGTAACCTCCTGGAATTGGGAAGTGTTTTGTGCTGTTTTGAGTTTGTTTTAAAAACTTTGGGAATAGGAACATGTGGCCGCCTTAAATCATAGAAGCATAGAAGGTAAATGAGTGTGAGGGAGCTTGATAAACACCAAAGAAGTGAGTTGATACCAGTAAGAGAAAATTCAGTAAAGGCTCAGATGAAGAGCAGTGCTTTAAGTGTCATATCCCCTCATCCAGCTGTCTTAAACTGCATCCTTATCTAAGCAATTTCTCCAGACTGGGATTTAGCTCTGCAGGGAGCCCTCCATTTCACCCTGGGCTGGTGGGATGGGTCACCCCAGAAGAGCTTCTTGCTGCGTTGACAATAGCTGCTGGAGCCCCATGTCATTGAGTTGGCTGAAGCCACGGCAGCATGGACCCCTCTCTTGCAGGAGAAACTAGACTTGCAGCAGCAATACTGCAGAGAGGAACATGGGGGAGATAGTGGAGCATGGAAAAAATACTGAGCAGCAACATAACAGGATGCTGTTGCAAAAAAAGAAACAAACCCAATGTTATAATGTTGTTTTGGGCTATGAGAACAAGAACGGCATGTGTGAGACACCGACGTGATAATCCCCCCATGCTCAGGTCTCAGAGGTCTTGGCTGAGCACAGTGGCCCAGCTGGGATGCTGCACTGGGAGACAGGGCCAAACTGGAGCAAGTGTGGAAGAGAAGAGCAGGGGTGGTAAGAGGTTGAGGGGAAAATGACCTCTGAAGAGGCCATGAGGTTGTTTTTTCTAGGCAAGATCTGCTGGGGGAGGATGGGCAATGTGATGACAGGCCTCTGGCACGCAGGAGGCTGGTTTTCAGGGGGTGGTGCCTGAGTGTCCCCACAGCTTCCACGGGAGCAGGAACAGGAAGGCTTAATTTGCAGCAGGGAAGATTTCACGTAGATACTAAGAAGAAACCCCTTTAGCTGTAAGGATGTTAAGCATCAGGACAGTCCTGGGAGGCTGTGAAATCTTCCCCTTGGAGATCTGCAAGTGCAAATCAGCCAAACACGGGCACACGGGATTTTCTTGTGCGTTGGCAGACGGATGAGGTAACCTCAGGTGTCTCCTGTCCCTGCATTTGTGTCTCCTGTGTGGTTGCTAGTGATGGTAGCGCCTGTTGCAAAGTTGGGAGAGGAAACAGGCAGGTGAGCCCTTGCTGAAACCTTACCAGCTCCCATCCATGCTCACAGGGTGGGTAAGGGGTTGATGCAGAGCCCTGGGAGCTGGTCTGTTTCCAAGGTGGGGATACCCTGCAAACCTGCGTGGGACTCAAGCTGGCTGTCAGGGGGCTGAAAGGTGGTCCTTTTCCTTGGAGGAGAAACGGATGGTAACAGTAACGTGCCTCTGTGATGTGATGTGAAGTGCATCTTTGGCATTCTGACATCTTTGTGGAGGTGTCTGAGGTAGCCCTGCTGGAAGGTTTATCTGCTACAGCAGCTCTCTGTAGCAATGTGGGAGAGGGAATAAATCTTGCACAAGAGGCTAGTGTTACTTTTACCCCCATATTATGAAGTGTGCCTCTGGTGCTGTTTTTCCCCGGACCTGTGTGTTCAACCATGTGCAATTGCTGCAAGGGTCGGACTCCTCCCTGTGGAGCTGAAATGTGTGACGAGTGTCATTGCCCTCCTGGCTCTGCAGCTGGCCGAGCGGCTGAAACTCTCTGACCCTCTGCTCCTGGAGATGCCAGAGCAGGACCAGATGCTGGAGCCTGACTGGCTGGTACAGCTCCAAGGCTGCTGCCGAGAGTGGGAGGTAAGGAGGAGCGGGGATGCTGTGGGGCAGCCAGTCTGTGTTGTAGTTTGTCTGCAGGAGCATCCTCCTCCTCAGCCCTGAATCAAGGGGATGGGTGTGGAAGTTTGCTATCTGTTGCTGCCCAGGTGCCTTTCTCCTTGGCTTGTGAGCTCAGAGATGTGGCCTCTGCTGTGGGACCTGCAACTTCAGCAGGACCATGGGGTTGCAGCACCTGAGGGTGTGGGCAGTGAGGGCTGCAGAGTTTTCATGGGGCAGAGCACACCTTTTCTTGGCTCAGGAATGGCAGTTGGGTTGGGCTGGTGGGTGAATGATGGGATCCTTGTAGTGAGGATTTTGCAGATGACACTGGTGGGGCACCCCCTTGCAGGTGTGTTTTTTTTGGTCTGGTTCTTGGATTAATGCTCTTAGTTCAGGTTTCTTGCTTGCTTTTGGTTTTGTGCCCTTTTTGGTCTCCAGTTTCTCTCCTGCCGGCTCTCAGCAGGGTAGCAGTGCAGCCCCCTTCACTTGCTGGGAAAGATCTGTGACCATGCTGGTATGGGTCTCACCTGTAACCTGGGCTCCTGCAGCCTGGGGTGGATCATAAGCCCCAGACCCACAACCATCATACTTTCCTTTATATTGGCTTTGTGGTTTCCTTACTCTGACCCGTGCCATCTTTTTTTCTATCTGTTTTATCATGTTTTCCCTCTGACTCCTTGCAGGTGGAAGATGACCTCCCACTGGATGTGTCACTCACTCAGCCAGGGCTCTCCTGTGCTGCTGCAGTGATGGCAGGTAAAGAAAATGAAACAGCAGGTTGCAGTCACCACACTGTACTTCTGTGCATGTGGAGCTGTGCTGCCATGGCCTAGGAGGCAGCTCCCTGCTCCCTGGAGCACTTCTCAGCAGCTACTCCTTCCTCCTTACATGCCCCCAGGACTCCAAATTTTGCTCCTGCCTGGGTGCATCCTTGCAGTGTGGGGCTGCCAGGGATTGGCTGCAAATAGAGGGGTTGATGCGTGTGCCCTCCATACAAAGTCTGCGTAATTGGGCATGATTCCTGCAGCTTCAGGAGTCCCTGCTGGTGCCGTGAGAGGAGAAGGGGGGCTGGAGGTGGGCAGCATTCAGCATGTGTCTGCTGGCTGAGCCCTGGGGGAGGCAGCCTTGTTCCCAGGCAGTCCTCTCAGGGTGCAAACTGGAGCTGAGCTAAGGGGATTTCACACTTGCAGAGTGAAAGATTTGGGAAGGAGCTCATCCTTCTGTGTGCTGGGCTGCAGCATGCCTGTTGGTGAAGCTGCTGCATTTCCCCTTCCATTTTCATCCCTTTGCCTTGCCTCTTGGTTGACCCCAAGAGTACACTCCAGCCACAGTCCACCCAGAGGGTCAAGAGACATCAAGATCAAGGACATGAACTTCTCCTAGGTGACTATCAAGGAAAGGGCTGGAGAGCTTTCCTTTCCTAGCTGGGCAGGCAGCACATCCATGGGATTGTCCCGTCAAGGAGAAGTTCAGGGGCTCGTGACCCATCAGTGTTGCTTCACAGTCATTTCTATCAGCAGGACACCCCAGCACAGCCCCACTGCTGCTCAGATACAGCTTTCTGCTGGGAACACTGGCACCGATGGGTGAAAAAAGGCTGTTGAAGACAGGATAAAACATGACAAAAAACCCCCAAGCCATTTCTTCCTATCAGCTTTGCCTGCTGCTTCCAGATTCCCCTTCAAAGAGGTCTCCCAGGCAGCAAAAGGGATCATCAATCCTGATTGCCTTCTGCTGCTATCAAAGGCTGAGGCTATGATCATCCTCCCCTGGAAGAAAGTCACAGATAGGATGGGATGGCTTCTCTGAGGGACCAGATCTGCTCTATGTGGTCTCTGCAGCTTGCTCTCCCAATATTTTGTGCCTTTGTTCATAGAAAATGCCATCCAGAGTCACCGTCTGAGGGAACTACATGCAGAGAAAGCTGACGTGGTACTGAATTCATCCATCTTGGAAAGACAAAGCCCAAAACAAGGTGCCAAGCTGAGATCTGTGTGGTCATAGTAACCTCCCCATCCATCATTACAGACTGGGTTGGCCTCTGGCTTTCTCTGGCTGAGCTTGCCAGGTAGTGTGCAGTTGAGAATCCATCCTCCTCCCTGTGGATCTCGAGCATCTCCAGACTGTGAGAGAGCAGCTCACGGGTGTGAAGCCAATCCTGAGCAGGCTGGAGGCAATGCTGGCAGGCAAAGCAAAGGGTTTTATAGCACCACATCCAAGAGGTGTCATTAGTCTGTCTCCAGGCTCAGACCTACGGGATCTGGGTCCTGCCTGGCCATATTCCATGGTGATAAAAAGAAACTTTGCAGTGCCCAGCAGGTTCCTGGCTGGAGGCTGAAGAGCTGGAACAAGCAGGGCACAAACCTGGGACCAACAGCAGTGTGCTGCCTGAACCGTGACTAACACCAGGCAGAGTAATGTGTGTGTTAAATAAAACAAGCCCCACTTGCTCAACCAACCTTTCAAACAAAAAAAAAGCAACCAACCCAACTCTGAATAAATCTGCCCAAAGCAAGGAACTCATTCATGGTTGCTCCTGTGGAGCAGGAATGAAGGCTTCCTGATGAATTTTCTTTTCTACTTGGGGTGTGCAGCAGGAGTGGACAAAAAGGCTTGGAGGCTCCTTTGAAGTTCTGGCAGATGCTGCTTGTGCTTAGTTTCTTTGCTTCCATAACATTTCACTTCTAAATTCATTTGCAACCTCAGGCATGTTCCCAGGAGGTCACAGCTCTCTGCCCCAGCCCTGTCTTTCACAGCCCCCCTTACATGAAGCCTCTGAAGGGTCCCTGCTGCTGTGTTGTGCCCTACCTCATCCCTCACCCTCTTACGGTCCTCGGGGTCCCTCCTCAGCTCCCTGACTCCCGCTGATGTGTAAAGGAAAAGGGGAGAATTCTGTGCAATGACCCAATGACATTATAAACTCTGGAGTAAACACTTTTTGCAGATGAAGAGCCTGGCCATGAGCTTCCCCAGAGTGAAGGCTACCGGCGTGACCAGTATCAGCCTGTGCCACCCCAGGGATCCAGCTCCCAACAGGATGTGTCCCTCTGCTCTTTGGCCCCTGTTCAGGACACAGCATCACCACTGCTCAGCATTGGGCAGGAGCTGCAGCCCCCAGTGCTCGACCCAGGGACAACCACCCCTCTGGGAGTGGATTTTGCTGAGCCCCCTCTACAGCCACTGCCACCAGCAGGTAAGTGCTCCAGCCTTGTTTCTCTGCACAAATGGCTGCCCCAGTTAGCAGCAGGGGCATGGTGTGTCCCTCAGGGGTGTGTGATCCCTTATGGCACGTGTGTCACTTCAGCTGCTGCTCCCTGCTAGCACTGCCTTCACCCAGGACCTCATTTCCTTCCAACCTTGTCTCAGATGGGAAGCCATGTTTGCCCCAGTGCTGTGCATGCAAACCAAGTCCAGCAGTGCTGGCCACCCTGGGCAGGTGGGCCTTCATTTTTAGGACATCTTGCCCAAAACAGCAAGGAGGACACCTGTGGGTTGTTGGCAGTGTTGCTGCTTTTCTGCTAGATGGAAAACCAGCTTCGCATCCAGCAGCACAAGCCAGGTTTGAGATGCACTGGTGCACCCTTGTGACTTCCTCCCTGGGGCTGACAGGGACCAGAAAGGCCTTTTTCATCTCCTGCCCAGGGGGAGCATCTTGGCCACACAGCCTTGTTCTAGGGTGGGATGATTACAGCACTGAAAATGCGTCTGATAGACATGGCAGGAGCTCTTCTGGTCAAACTGTGTCCTTCCCTCTGTTCCACAGGAGAAGCTGGGGAGCCCTGGGGTGCCCTGTTGTCCCCTGAGGGGGTGCAGCCATCCCTCCCAAAAGAGCAGGTAAGTCAGAGGAATCAGGGAGACCATCCCACTGGGAACTCTGAGGGGATTTGGGACTTGCTAACTTATCCTTCCACTCACTTAACTCTCAAAACTGCCCATCATGGTGCCAGCTGTGTTGCCTGATGGATTAGGGTAGTCCTCCGCAGCCTCCTACCTCCTACCTGCTGCCTGCTGTGGGTGTTACTTCTCCCCATCTGCTGTGTAAGGGATGCGGAGGTCCCTAGGGATGCTATCTAAGTCTGGCATGGTGGAATTCTGGCAGCAATCTAATAGTGCTTTGGGGTAGCTTCTCTGGGAACACCACATGGCAGCTGGATCTCCAATGCCAGGAGGGGTTAAAGGCTCAGACTGTCTCGGAGAGCTCCACTGTTTCCTTGGAAGATGACAGCCGGCCTTCCTCAGAGAGCGTGGCTGAGGATACTGCTGAAGAGCTGGCATCAGCAGAGGCACTGAAGCTGGATGAGGACAAGGTGAGCATGCCAGAGCTGATGTGAAGCCTCATGCTGTGAGCTTGTCTGCCTCTGACGCTTGGTGTCTGCCCTGCCTCTGGTAGAATAGTGCCTGCTACCGGCAGGTATCTGGGTGGCCATGGCATCCTCCCCTTCTCATCCATTTCCACTGTTTTCCTTTGTGACTACCTCCATTTCCCAGAACTCTGGATTCAGGTGGTTTGGCTGGTTTCGGTCGAAGCCCACCAAGGAAACCTCTCCCAGAGATGTGTCTGAGACTTCACCAGACTCCCCCACACTGGAACTGCAGGTAGGAGACAGAAGGCTGTCCGGTCCCTAAGTAACAGGGTACAGCCATGAAGATGGGTGACAAGGCTCCACCATTACCCACTTTGTCCTTGTGCAGGTGGCTGGTCTGTGCCATCGCACTCCTCTTCATGGCCATAGCTGCTCTATGTGGGAACAGAGCAGGACCAGGAGCCCTTTTACCCTGGAAGTCAATCATTGGTTAATAACAATTGTAAATTTATTAAACCCTTTTTGATCTGGGAGGTCCTCTGAGCACTTGGCAAACTCTGTGGAGATTGCTTGCCCTCCGCTGAAGCAGAAAGCAGCAGCTGCGAGAGGCATGGCTTGGGCAGGTTTTAGAAGCTGAAGGGAAGGAAAACCTCTTTAATTGGAAGCACAGCAGAGAGGGGGAAGCAGCCATGCACGGTTATCCCAGTCCTGGCTGAGTCCTTAGGGTGACATCCCTGACTGCAGTCCCAGAGCAGAAAATTTTGTGATATTCTTCCAAAACCAGAAGGAGATGAGGAGAAGAGTATGGCCCATGGACACTGATGGCCCCTTGCATTGTACACAGGCTTGGTGTCCAGCCTCCTGCCTAATTTTCACCTCTCCAGGTGGTTTAGGTTGTGACAGGGGTTGCTTGCCCTGACCCTGTAGCCCCTCCTTAGCTTGGTTGCCTGTAGCTCTTGGGGTACCCCATCCTGCTGAGTGGTACCCTGAAAATGTGGTGTGGTATTTGGTGCAGAAGTCTTCTCAGCATGCGAGGAACTTCTGCTTTACATGGGTGGATGTGCTTTCAGGAACAGACATCACCATTCCCATCCGACACCCCTCTTGCAGCTCGGACAGCCCCTTCGGCTCAGCCTCCCTCCAGAAACCCTGGTAAATGACACATGGGTCCCCTTGTCCCTGTCCCTGTCAGCTTTTTAGAAGCTGCTCTTCTTAAGTATTGTAATTGTTGCATACCCCAGCAGGCTTGCAAGGGGAAAATGCTTTTGCTATTACTCCGCTGTCCATTGAGATGAAAGGATCATGGGAGTCAGCAGGAGAGCAGGTGAGGAGAAGAGGTATTTGTGTGTGTTAGGGGGGAGGAAAAGAGGTGTCCAGGACCCCTCTGTCTGTTAATTTTCTTTCCCTTCACCCTTTCCAGACTGGCTTCCATGAACATCCACCACCAGTGGGGGCAGTCCCCCTGTTCAACCCTCTGCAGGTCTCCCAGGTGAGAGCATCCTTCCAAGGTGTTGCTGGATAGGGTTGAGGGTGACTCTTGGCTTTTTGGATGGTGCAGATTGCAAGCAGCCTGCAATGGGATGGGGATGCAGGGGGGACCAGCCCTGGGCAAGAGTTTGATTTATAAGACAATGAAGCAGGGGAGGACAGTGACAGGGAGGCGTGTGATGGAGAAGGAAAAGGTGGGGGTGATGCTGGTGGCTACATCCTGAGGACAACAGCTCCACGTTTTTGGGTATACCCCTCCCTAACACCATATCTCTCTCTTCCCAGCTCATTACTGCCTCTCGACCCACCCAACCCAGGCTGCTTTCCCAGTGGCGCTACCCCAACCCTCTCTGAAGCAGAAATCAATAGCAGTGACCATTGTGAACCAAAATGGTGTTTGTGATTATTTTTGAAGCAGATCTTAGGTGGGCACAGTGGCCCAGCTGGGATGCTGCACTGGGAGACAGCGCCAAACTGGAGCAAGTGTGGAAGAGAAGAGAAGAGCAGGGGTGGTAAGAGGTTGAGGGGAAAATGACCCCTGAAGAGGCCATGAGGTTGTTTTTTCTAGGCAAGATCTGCTGGGGGAGGATGGGCAATGTGATGACAGGCCTCTGGCACGCAGGAGGCTGGTTTTCAGGGGGTGGTGCCTGAGTGTCCCCACAGCTTCCACGGGAGCAGGAACAGGAAGGCTTAATTTGCAGCAGGGAAGATTTCACGTAGATACTAAGAAGAAACCCCTTTAGCTGTAAGGATGTTAAGCATCAGGACAGTCCTGGGAGGCTGTGAAATCTTCCCCTTGGAGATCTGCAAGTGCAAATCAGCCAAACACGGGCACACGGGATTTTCTTGTGCGTTGGCAGATGGATGAGGTAACCTCAGGTGTCTCCTGTCCCTGCATTTGTGTCTCCTGTGTGGTTGCTAGTGATGGTAATGCCTGTTGCAAAGCTGGGAGAGGAAACAGGCAGGTGAGCCCTTGCTGAAACCTTACCAGCTCCCATCCATGCTCGCAGGGTGGGTAAGGGGTTGATGAGAGCCCTGGGAGCTGGTCTGTTTCCAAGGCTGATGGTGGGGATACTCTGCAAACCTGCGTGGGACTCAAGCTGGCTGTCAGGGGGCTGAAAGGTGGTTCTTTTCCTTGGAGAAGGATGGTAATAGCAACCTCTTTTCTGATGTGAGGAGCATTTTTGACGTGGGCACTCTAACATGTCTCTGTGGAGGTGTCTGAGCTATCAAGAGGCTGTGTTGCACGGCATGGGCCACCACCTCTCTGTGGCAGTGCAGGAGATGGAATAAATCCCGCACAATGTCGTCTGGTTTGCCCAGGCTCTGCCACCAGTGTGTTGGGCGGGTTAAAAGGTACTTGAGGCAGTAAAAGGGCGTCCGGGGGAGAGTAGTCTGAATTGGGTTGTAGGGCGATGCCCCACCTCACCCATTGGACTCAGCAATCGCCGGCCGTGAGTCTGTCTCAAAGCACCGCGGGGCCACGAGCATCCACCGGGGGTTCCGTGCGGGGCAGGGCCCGCCGCGGACCCTGCTCGGCTTCTCCTGCCCAGGCCGGCCCTCCCGGCGCCCCCCCTTTCTGGTGGCTCACCCGCCCGTCGCGGGCGGGGCTCTGCTGGAGCCGCGGGCGGCCCTTCCCTCAGACCTTCCCCGAGGCGGGGCGGGGTGACGCGCACCCAGTGCGTGGCCTCGGCGGTGAGCTTCCCCCGGACGTTCCGGCCTAGCACCGCCGGCACTATATATGCGCGGGCAGCGCCTCTGCTTCTCGCTCAGGGTGAGCACGGCGGTACCCAGCGCGCACCGCGCTGCATGTTAATGTACACCCGCCCCCTCCTCGGAGGCGGAGCCGGTTCCCCGTGTGGGCAGTAAGCGGTGGCCTTGCCGGGGGGTGGCTGTGGCAGGACTGCGGGACCGGACCCACCCGTGACAGACGATGGGGCTCGGCCCTCCTTGTGATAACGGGTGGGGCCGAGACCTGCTTGCCGCAGGCTGTGGGGCGCGGCCCCCTTGTGATGGGCTGTAGGGCTAAGACCTGCTTGTGACAATGTGAGCTTTGGGCCCACTTTTGATGGGCCGTGGGGCCAAGACCTGCTTGTGGCAGGCTGTATGGCTGGGACCTGCAGATTGTGGTGCTGTGTCCCCATCGTGACAGGCTCGGAGGCCAAGGCCCGTTTGCAGCAGACTGTAGGGCCGGAGCCCATTCCTCACGGGCTGTGGGGCCAAGACCTGCGCACAGCAGGCTGTGGGCCCAGGTCCAGGCTGCCTGGGGTGGGGAGGGGGGGTGTATGTGCTATGAGCACTGGGGCAGTGAGCAAGCATGTAGGTATCTGACTTTAAAATGCTTCCAGAAGTATGAGCATCTGTAGTGCTGGGGCTGTTTGCTTTTTAACAAAGGCTGCTGAGGGCAGTGCAAACTCAGGGCTTCTGGCTGGGCAGACGCTGCAAACACACCCTGAGAGCTGCTCACCATGCTCTCCCTCCGTCCAGGGCTGTTTGGCTCACAGGGATACACAGGTGGAAGTGACCGGTCAAGCCTGGGATGCTGCGCAGGGTAAGTCTGGCTGACTGCAGCACACAATTCCAGTGGGTTTCCTGGGGATGGAGCTTTTAGCCCTGAGATCATTCTGCCTCTGGGTGTGGGTAGGAGGGCCACCAGGCTGCACTGGGGCTGTAGTGTGTCCTCACACTGCTGTGTGTGTCCTCACAGCTCTGTTTGCTGTAGCTCTGTGCCCATACACCCTTATGTCCCTTAGTCCCAGCCGTAGGACAATTTGGGCAGCAGTGCTTGTGGGGTGACCTTCTGTGAGGGTGAACATGTTGCCATCTTGGCTTTATGCTTTTTGCTGTCCTCTGGTCTTTTGAGTTAGTTTAAAGGGGGTGAGCTGTATGTACCTCTCACCTTGGGCATTAAACATTTATGCGATTGAACATGGTCTCTCCTGTTCCTCAGGCAACCTCTTTTTTGGAGGGAAATGATAAGCACAGATGAGTGTCTGCTGGTATAAGTTTGCAGATCTGGCAAATGCTTTTAGAAATCTTGTGATTTTTGGGATCACCCCGCATATCCTTAATTACTGACTCTATTCTTGATCCCCCAGAAGTTACAAGGAAACATGAAGCAAAGTTTTTCTGAAATAGCATGCTGCAAAGCCCCTTATAGGCAGCGCAGTGTGCAGCCATGGATGTGGGGGTACAGGAGTTTCCTTGCTTGCATGTGGCCTGTTGCACTATTCAGTCTCAGTATCATGGGGTTATGGAGATCCAGAGTCATAGAAGAATGAAGAGGCTGAATCAACCTTGTCTTGTGCACATATAATGTGTGTGAGTTGGATATCAGTCTTCAGTGGAGGAGCAAAAAAAAGAGGAGAGACTATGGGTGATGGTGACTTCTCACAGCAGGGAGGGCATTTTGGTTTTGGTGAGATGTGGTCTTCTATTAGCTTATTTCTATGGAAATGTAGAGGTGGGATGGTTGGCTGCTCAGACTGGGATGGTTGGCTGCTTGGACTAGGAAGGTTGGAGGAGCTTTTTTCTGTGTGGCTTTGGTTGTTTCAGAGGTGGTAAATATCCTGGGTAATGGGTGCCTGAAGTTTGTCTGAGTTTCTTGTGGCCTCCCAGTGAACTCGAGGTAAACTGGGGCTGAGGCTCTCTTTTCCTTCTGCATCCTCTCCTGAGAAAACTGGAAATGCATAAACCTGATGCTAATTGTTACTCTGACTGATAACAGCAATTAGGGTCTGTAATTCGAGATCAAGTCTCTGCTATGTGGAGTGTTGTAACTGCTGCCTGGGGGAGCTCTCTGCGAAATACTCTGAGCTGGCATGCTTCGAGGATGCTCTGGGATGCTCCTAAATGCTACCAGCTTGTAAAGGGAGGTGTGCGTGTTTCCACTGAGCTGGACTAACTGTGCCCTAACACCATGATTTATTTCAGAATCACACACCTGATCTGCTGGTGAGATCTTTGCTCCCTCACTTCCCACTGCATGGCACAACTGGCGGCACAACCGGCTGCCCTGCCTCTCAGGAAGGGCTGCTGCAAGAAGGCACTGCTTTTCCTGGCTCTGCAGTTCAGGCATCCACTTCCCAGATGCTTTCGGTCTCATGTGGGTCCCGCTGGGCATGGCAAGGCCATACTCATTTAGAACTGTTATTTATTAGAAGTGCTGGGTGATGACCTTGTCTCTGTCCCTTCAGCTCCTGGTGATATCTGTGACGCAGCTGGTCTTGGAAGGTCACTTGTTTCACCTCGCTTAATGATAACACTGTAGAAAGCAAGCTTTCATTGCTTGCTCGAGTGTCAATGGTACATGAATATTAATGAAACCTTGGTGGTCCTGTGGTGCTGTCATGGCTGCGGAGAGCTCATTTGGAGCTGCTGGGCAGTGCGTGGAACTCCATGATGGAGTGATAATAAAGTGTTCATGAACTCTGCTCTGAGGTGCTGCTCAGGACTTCGAGCTTGCAGGCTCCTGGTGCAGCAGTATGAGACTGGCTTTTCTGAAGCTGGCTCTGCACAACATGAGCATCAGCAGGGGAGGGATGTTTTGAATGCTGCAGGTATGGGGGAGTTTGTTGGTTGCAACTTCAGTTGGCACATGGTCTGGTTAATGGAACCTAATGTTCTAAGGCTCTGAGCTGGGATTGGGGCAAGGGCAGGTGCAATGCAACATCTATTAAAATGGTCTCTTTGGGCTGCTGGTAGTGGGTGGGAATTGCCATAAGGAATGGGATGGTGGTTGTTATATGCACAAGGGTAGAGCATAAATTGGAGTCTGCAGGAAGCGAGCTTTTGCTGAATTAATCCAGGCAAGTCCCTCCCAGATTCTGCTACCCTGTGTGGAAAAGTCAGGATTACAACTGAGATCTTGTAAATAAAACAGTTGGGTTTGGAAAAATGAGGCTTTTTACATACTAATCTGGAATATATTAAACAGTGCATGCTGCCTTTAATCAGTATATATTTAATATCTGGGCTTGAATGGCAGCAGAGTTGTTCCTCAAAAGATTAACATGGAGAGAGGACCCCAGATCTTGCTCTGAGTCCTTATGTGGCTTCTGAAATGAGAGCCCAGGGTTAAGCTGTGTGTGGTAGATAGTTGTTAGCTCTTATTTTCTTACCTCTGGAGAATAATCTGCTTCTCTCCTCGAGTAGAACAGACTTCACTTGCTCTGCTTGTGCTTAAAGCAGTATGTTCTTCCCTTCCTACCTTGGGTGTTCCCTTGCCATAGAGGTTGAAGGAAGGTCCTTCTGCATGGATTTCTGTTGGATCAGGGTGATAGGAATTTGGCAGTGTCTGATTATATAATGGCCATTAAAATACATACATCCTTCCTAAAAACTTTTATATACCAGTGCCTGTAGGAATTGTGCCTTTACCGGGTTTTCGCATCATGCTATATTGCTGTGCAGACTCTTGCTACACAGAGGGACCATTCCAAAATCCTCTGCTCAAGAGGAACACTGCCTTTCCTGCAGATCCTGCCAGATGTGGCACAGCTGAGCTCACTTAGATCTAAAAAAGGACACGTGTTGGCTTGTGTCCTCTCCAAGCTTATGGCCGCTGCAGTCAGCAGTGTCTTAGCAGTGTAGAAAGCCTTCAGGGCCTGAAATCTACCTGCATTCTACAAAGTTGATCACTTCCTTCATTTAACTGTGAAGGACGAAATCCAAAGGTGGGAGCCAATGGCTGTGTGTTAATTCTTATCACCATGTCTGGCAGCCCTGGTCAAACTGGCTTCCTTTTACAGTAAGCAAGGTATGAACAGATCAGAAAGCTGATCCTTCCCTCCAGTTACCCAAAAACTCACAGAAGAGCATGGCTGGTGTAGGAGTATCATGTGCCCAGGGAACTGGCTAATCGGTTCTGCAATGTGGTTAGCATGGCCCTGGGAGGGTTGTGGCAGAAGTAAGAGGAAAAGGCACATTCACCAGGCAGGAAGACTAGGGCTGCCTTTGGGAAAGATGCAGAATGGTTTCACAATTCCTCATCTTTGCTCCGACACACTGGAGATCCTTAGCCCTCTGATGGTAGGAAAGACAAACCTACAAAGTGTTCTCTGAGCCTGTGCCCATGCACCAATGTGTCAGAGAATAATCCATGTGAATGAAAAACAAGAGGGGCTGCTGTACCTGTGAGCCCTGAGGGACATATGCCACTGCTCTTGGAGATTTAAAGCTCTGAATATTACCTTGAGGATGTGGATTATATTTGCAGAGGGGATAAAAAGAAAAAACTCCAACTGTTAGAAGGTTTTGGCAGTGTAGAGTGATGTGTCACCTTTCTTGACATGTTTGTCTTCAGTGGAGATTGTATCTAGTGGTAGGATGAAGAGATGTTACCTACTGTATGGTGTTAATTATGAAGGGAAGATCACATGAAAATCGAATGAAATTGAAACCTTCTGCATTTGATATTCCCAGAGTTGAAGTCCTCGGTACATCTCATTAGTTTAAAAACCCTGATGGAGAGAGCTTAGCTTCGAACAGGAAATTGATATGACATTGAGACCTGGGAGAGGATTAGCTGCCTGCCTCTGAACTTGTCCAAAGGAGTTGAACATGTAAATGTTCCTATAGAGCAGCTCCCTGCAAGAATACATGCTGGTTAATTAAGGCCCCTGGGACCACACAGCTGCAGTGAGGGAGGGGTAAAATCAGTCCGTGAAGTCTTGCTGCTGTGTTCTCTCTGCGGTGAAAATGCTGCATGAGCTATATAGGCAAGTTCAAAGCTTTGAGTGTGCAGGCTCTACTTAGGTGCTGGTGAAAGAGATGCTTTGTTTGTTATACTTCTTGATGAGCTTTGCCGGCACTGGATTAGGATTGAAGTAAACAGGGTATGGTGTTCTGGGGCTAATGTGTTATCCCATCTGGTGGAGGTGTCTGCAGAGGGTGCGTGGCTGGGAAGTGAACCTGGGTTTCACTCACAAGTGACGTTAGGACTGTCTTTTGTGGCAAAGTGTTGGGTTCTATTTTGAGCCTCTGCAGAGATGCTGAGGGCCTAAAGCTCAATACCAAAACACATCTGGTTTCTGTGACCCATCATCTTTGTTCTAATGGTATGAAAATTGTGACACCAAGACAACACCCTTGCTGTATACAGCAAGCTGCAACTGGTCTTTTTTTAGGTTTGCCAGGGAATGAAGGCCATCAGATATACCATGCCGGTCAGTTCTTACCTGTGAGCCTATCTGCTTTGGGCCCTGCTGGGTTTACCATTCTGATGAAGCGCTTTGTAACAGCTATATGTGGAGAGAGGATATTTCCCATTTTTTCTTGCAAACACCAGCCGGTGCTGCGTGCACTCTGAAGGTGAGGTGCTGATGATGAAGAATCCATGACTTGGCAGCACACCAGGTTTTCAGCAGTATTTTGCTCCTTTTGAAAACAAAATGTGTTTGGACCAACTGTGATCTCTGTGGCGGGTGCAGTTTGCAGACCACATATTTCTCGTGTGTTCAGAGGGCACTTACTAGTTGGGACACTGCAGTCGCTGGGCAGGATTACTGGAAGGAGAGCTAGTGGGACCCTTTGCTTCCAGTGGAGTGACAG